AATTTTTCTAAAACAAACATTTTAAACTTTAAAAAAATTGCCTGTTTACAAGATGAAGTCAAGATAGCCCTGGTGTTTCTTTACAATTGCACAGGCATCTACCAAGAGATAATGGAAGCCAAAAATATGTGTTTGGCTGCTACTTGTTACTATGATTATAGACTAAGTGGTCTTATTTTAGAACTGTGAGGATGTTTTTATTTTAGATTTGAAATTTTGTATATCTCCATCTTCCATTCTACCATCAAGTAGCACTGTATTATTCCAAACGTCCACTCTCACGTGTGCTACCAGAGGGAGCCATCCTGTGTGAGCATTTTGATCTCAGTCAATCTCCCATCCAAATACACAGGGAAAAATTTGCCTCTTCCTTAGATATGGATGAGCCGGATGCAACAAGTTTAATTAAGAAGAGATAATTTGACATATGAAAGAACACTGACCAATGTTACTTCTTTAAAGTCAATGCTCTTAGATCTTTTTCCTACATTGAGACAAAAATGTCTCTTCCCAAATTGTCTACAGTAGGTGCTACCTCCTGCACTCCAAGTCCAACAAGCATGATACCATCAGTGTGATATGAATGGAATCTCTGCAATAGATGTTACTGTCCCTAATGATGCATGTTGATGCATTCCCCAGATTATTAGCTGCCAGGCATGTGTCATTTGCAGCAACAGTAAAACTATACTAAGAGCAACTTTGGTTGAAGTCACTACCCAGTTTACATTTTCCACAATAGTTCTCCAGGATGCAAATAGATATCTTGATGGTGGATATAGCTGGAATGACCTTGTTCTGTATTGTTCAATAATGCACTATTTGCACTGACTCCTCACAAATTCATGTATACAAAGGCCTTGTTTTACTTTTCAGTAAAAAAACAAACAAACAGGCAGTTGTGAAAATTTTCACTAGTTTCTATCATAATGTCACTCCCTGAATCAGGCAACCACTATGGGTATGATGCCAACTGATAACTATGTCTATCCCACCTCTTCATTCCTGAGTTCCAAAATAAGAATATTAACTTGGGGTCATGTGTGTGTACCATCTCAAGGCCTGTCCTCTAACTGTGGATGCAAAGAAGAGTTTGGGGTCTTTACAAAGTGTTATCAGGTCAAATTCAAAGCATAGTAATAAAAAAACATTAATTTACTTTTTCTAATTCTTATTGCTGTGCTTAGACAGCTTCTTTGTAGCTCTGAGGAAGCAAAGGAAGGAAATTCAGAAGGATAGAGTTGATGTCAGAATTTTCCTCAAGGGCACACATTCTCTATCATGCAGAAGTCTGAGTTGTCTGGTCCAAGCCTGGGAACTAGCTGAGGCTTCCTATGATAGTCCATACCTCTTTTTTACCAGACCTAGAATTTTTCTGCAAAGCTCCATGATTCTAGAACATCAAGTCCAATTATGTGGTTAATTGGGATGCATAGTCTTTGAGTCTGAACAAGTATTTGTGTGGGAAAAAAACACATGCAGGGCAGCTCAGGCCCATGTGGCAGCAGCCTGTGGCTGGCATGACAGTGGCCTGTGGGGGCATGGCAAAGTCCCAGGGGCTTTCCCACATGAGAGTCCCACATATGCAAGAAGGTCTAGGGTTCCAGAGGCTGGAAGCTTGGCAGCGGCAGGCCCAGAAGACACATGGAGTCCGAGAGATGAAAGTTTTATTGTCCATGACAGGATAGTTGGATCTGGATATGAGTGTGCCCGCTCCCCGTAATGCCAGGAGGAGCTCTCTTATATGGGAAGTTGGAAAGAGGAGGGACTAAGGAGGAATAACTTAATTAGCTATGCTCCCCGGCCTTTAGATAACTCATTAATATGTAAATCTCTCAAGGCAGAGGCCTGTTAGTCACACCCACTACCTGTGTCTTATGTGACTGACGGTACAGGTTAAATGGAGTGTCAGGGTCCTGGGTTCTGGGGGCGTGGCCGGACACCTGCCGTCTTGGGGTTCCAGGCCCATGCCAACCCATGAACCAAGATGCCCTTCCACAGCCTGACATACTTGTTTGAGTTACTACATTAATCTAGCTCCATGATATCTTTTTCTTTGAAATTTCATCACAAAAAATTGTTTTTATCTGTAAAAACAACCAAAGTTTTCATTCTTATTTTCACCAAAAACATAGTGTCAAAACCCATCATCTTCTTTGACTCTATTCTTGAGTACTTAAACATAATGAGCCAACAACTGTACATTCTTATGATCTGTGGCTATAAATACTTGGTCACCCAAAGCCTTGTCTTGTATTGCAGATACCAAAACTTTTTATTTGGTGATATCCTGAAAGTTCATTGAGTTCTCCCTAAATGTGTATTACAATGTCTAACATCAGGACATTCACTAACAGCAGCTGTTCATAACCGGTGAGTCATGAATCTTTTAGAGATCAAATTTCAGGTATCCTGTATAGTAGATATTTCAAATTAAAATCATAACCATAGCAAAATTATAGTCATAAAGTATCAATGTAAGAAATTTTACAGCTTGGGTCACCACAACTTGAGGAACAGTATTAAAAGATCACATCATTTGGAAGGTTGAGAACCATTGACTTAATTTCTGTCTTGGTCATGCCCTACATGCTGTGTATTCAACACACTCTCCCCACACCTACATCCCTCACAGCCACATTCTCTCATCTTATTTGAATAAAGATGAGATGCCCTCACACTGGTTAACACAAACAATGGCCTTCAGGCTAAATCAGCCTACCACCTACATTTGTAAATAAAATGTACTCCCTCTCACCCATATTTTCTTACACTACCTGTGTTTGTGCTACAGCAATGAAGGTGAGACGTTACACATATGCAGTATGGGTCTCAAAGCTGTCAATAATACCTGGACGCTTACAAGAACAGTTCCATGATCCCTGATCAAGGACCCCCTCCCTTTGTGTTGCTGTCCTGCCTCCAGGGAGCCACTTTGAAGGGTGTAGTCACCACCTTATCACGGGATCCAGGCATCTCAGAATCTGGCCACAGATTCAACACTACTAAGAGAGCAGAGTCATAAGAATTTCTGATAAGGAAAGTAGAGCTTGTCCAAGCCAGTTCTGTGGCTTCCAGCCCTTCCTTTTTCCCACACTGGAACTATAAAAGCAGGAAACAGGTCAGGACACATCAGAAGCTCACCCAGGCTGCACCAGTGGCAAAATGTAGGCCCTAAATATTCCTGATGACATTTCTCTTGCCTTTAGGAGCTGGAGCTGGTGAGTTTTGTCTTCATCTTCCTAACTTCTGAGATTTCAACAACTGACCTTAATCTGTTACCTTTGGTGACAAATACCCTAACATGAAGAAGGATACTAAACTAACATAGTCCAAGGGAAATCTGCAGGTTAAGGAAGAATGAAAAACTACTTCGCCTTCACATCATTTCATGAAATTACTCTCTGTTCTGATTCTTTGGCCTTCCCTTAGTGTTGAGAAAGACAGGATGAAGGTGTAGAGAAATATCTGACAAGTGGAAAGTCAGAAACATGAATGAACATTGTGTTCAAATGAAGGATGATGGTGGACAGGGAGCACTGGGGAGTAAAGATCAATAGGAGAGAAAAGATCAAAGATGTGTGGAGGGGCCTGAGCTCCTTGTGAGTTGGGGTGGGCTTGGAGCAGTCACTCAGATTTACCTCTTCTTCCCTTGTTAACACTGTGTTGAGGGTGTCCTGCAAGGTTGTGACCATGCACTGTGGATTCTTTGTTCCAGAGATTATTGACGGTATTGAGGCTAAACTGCACACCCACCCTTACATTGTCCATCTGACGATCATCGTTGACAGAAGTTTTAAGGACAGCTGTGATGGGTTTCTTATAATCAACCAATTTGTGATGACTGCTGCATACTTTTAAGGAAGATAAGAGACTTCTCTTCCTGTGAAGAAATGCAGGAGCCAGAGTCACAAAGCAGCAGAGGCCTGAGGAAGGCTCTGAGCCCTGTTCATCTCCAGACTGGCTCTCTTAAAACTGAGAAGAAAACTGAGAAGGGAACACAAAGCTTCACTGGACCATTCACATGTAGTCTCAATTTCTAGAGGTCAGAGCTTTAAGCAGGGCTCTAGTCAGGTGAAAAACTACAGCTATTGTCTTGTCCTGGTGTCACCAGGGCTAAGACATGGGCTGGGGTGTAACTCAATTGTAGAATGCCTGTCTATCATATTCAAAGTCATGGGTTCAATGCATACACTGGAAGGTGAGCCATGTCCTTCTGGGAAGGCAGTGGTCCATCTCAAGTTTCTATAGGGGCTCTGTCCTGGGTTAGAGAAGAAAGACCCTGGTGACTTTTGCCTTGGAAGAAGTCCTCCTCATAAGACTTTTCACTGCTTTTTCTTTTTCAACAGAGAAATCACTGTCACCCTTGGAATTCATGATGTGAGCAAGAGAGAATTCACACAACTGAAGATAAAAATTGAAAAACAAATCATTCACAAAAATTACTACATCTTTTCCAATCTCCATGACATCATGTTACTGAAGGTGCCCTTATTTATCTGGCTCTGCTTAAGTCTCCCCTCCTAAACTCTTCCCCTGTATCTGACTTTTGAATTTTCGCTTATCCAGTCCTTTTTTTCAGAAGCCACTCCTGAACTCTATGTCATTATGGGCCCACTGGGAAGGGACTCATGTCTAAGCATCCTTTTCTGATTTGCCATCCCTTCTCTCCTTCTCCCAACAGCTTAAAGAGCAAGCTGAGTTGACTCTGTGGATGTAATTCCTCTGCCTAGTCCCTCTGACTTCATTGACCCTGGGACAATGTGCTGAGTAGCTGGATGAGGGTGAACTGGAGTGACAGAACCTACCACAGATACCCTGAAAGAGGTCGAACATAGAATCATGAATAAAGAGGCCTGAAAAACTATAGGTGTTATGACTATAACTTCCAGGTCTGCGTGGGCAGTCCACAATGTTAAAAACAGTATACGTGGTGAGTACATACTTGTGTTTCCTCCCCACATCAGGAGAAAGCATCAGTAGAGGTAGTGTGGTGAACAGCTGTCTATGGGAGTGACTAATGTCTTGGTTTTTAGACTACTACTTCCAAGACTGGGAATTGACATTCTCCCTCTCTGTCTCATCTCCCTATGCCCAAACCCTTCTGGAAATCTTCCTGCAAGGCTCCAGATGAAAAAGGAAGTAAGTAAAGGCAGACATGTTAGCATTGGAGCAAGGACAGTGAGTGGGGAATCAGGCAATAAATCCCCAACTTAAGACTCATAGACAGCCAGGTCCTTGTACCTCATTCCAGGATTAGCTTTCTTTGAGCTGATTTTTAGGGGAAAGCAATCTTTGTTCATACTCTGATTTTCCTTACTTACAGGGAGATTCCTGGGGACCTCTACTGTGTGCTGGAGTAGCTCATGCCATTTATCTCATGTACATGGAAAAGGAAATCCCCTTATAATCTTCACCTGAATCTCCTCATATGTGCCCTGGATTAATACAGTCATAAAACCTAAGTAGCTGATAAATCTGACCAGCCTGAGACAGACTCTCCAAGCCTGAGTTCTTCTGGTACCCCTTGAGTTCAACACAGCAGGTTCCTATCATGACCCCATACTGTCCCCACCTGTCCTTAAAGAGGATCTCAAAGATACACAAGTCGGTGATGATTGTTTCCTGTAAAGCGTCTCAATAAAAACATAACCTCCAGCAGCTGTGTGACTCCACACTGTGCTCTAAACACATATTCCCTTTCTAAGCACAATGAAGAATTGATTTCAGGTACTATCTTGCCATGTTAACTATCTTGGTGACCAACTTCCTGGAACAGGATGTGCCACTGTGGATTACTGAATACTATCTAACATTCATGGCTTTGTACAGTTAGATTTCCTCTCCATGGTAATGAGCACTGTTCTGTTCTTCTCCACTGTCCTGTCTTCTCATCTTCTCCCACCTTGTCTCTCAGCTCATCTCCCCACAAACCACATACATGCCTTAGCCACTGAATCTTTCCACACATCATAGCAGATTCCGTGTCTAGGTTAGACATGGCTGTTGATCCTTGTGTCCTCACCACCTACCTTGCCATCATCCTCCTCTCAATATTGCACCTGCAGCTAGAGGAAAGCCTGTCCTCAGAAGTCCTTGGACCATGACTGTGGCTGCAGCGACCAACACAGGAGAGTGTCAGCACTTTCTGGAACTAAACACAAGGCAGAACTAGCCCGTAATGGAAAAAGGCCCTCCAATACTTAGCATGTACTGGTGCTTAGCATGGTGGCTCTAGACCTGCTTCTAAGCCACCCATATAAAACTTCCATCTTACTCAAAGATCCTGCCTTTCAGAAGAATGTTTGAGTTATGTGAACTTCTAAGTGACCTGCTATCTTCTTAAAAACCAAAGCTCTCATTTTCCTCAGTCAAGGGAAACAATGCTTTAACTACAGGGTTCTGTGGAATCTGAAGGGGATGAGACCACACATGAGCTCTACTATGTTGAAAGAAAAGTAATATGAAGGGTGTGGCCCTCTGACTACTGTACCATGAAAAATGACTGCCAGCACCAGCCTCAGACTAGGAACCCAGCACTTACACCCTCCTCCTGGCCTGCTCGCCTCTCCTCTTGGTTTTCAGCTTTGGCAGAGTAATGGAGAGATGCAGTGATAGCTTTCAAAGTGCAAGTCTGACTATAAGCTCTATTCTACCTCAGGAGGGGGAGCACTAAGAAATCTAAAAGGATGTTTTAAAATTAAAGAACGGGTTACTGATCCATGTTGGACTGTTTTGCTTTTCTACCTGTTATTTATACCTGTGTAACTAAATGGGTCTTTTCTCATCTTGACATAGATTGCTGTGGTTTAGGCATACTCTTGCCATGTAGTTCAGACTGACTTCCAACTCATGATCCTTCTGCCTCAGCTTCCCTAGTGTTGGGACACCAAGCATGCTCCACTACCCTTGGCTTAAACAAAGGTCTCAAAATGTGAAACACAAAGCAAAGACAACAGCTGTGTCTTTTCTTAGTAGATATGAATAGTCACTAACCTCCAGCTGAGGGCACACTGCCTCTTACCCTATAGCCTAAAGGGCATGTACTTGGGACAGTCTTCCTCCATGAAGCTGGGTAAGTGGAGGTGAGGAGAGAGTGATTGTCCCACCCTGCAGCCTGGATCACAGTAATAGGGGAACAGGGTTAGACTCCTGAGAGCTCAGCTGAGGATACAGGTTGAATGGCTTCCAGAAAGGTCACCTCTACAAAGCAATCTCCGTCACATGGGTCTCTGTTGTCAAAGGAACAGTTGGTGACACAGAGGCTCCAAAATCAAGATAAGAGCCTCATCACCACTGCAGCAGCCATTCTCTGGCATGTTGGAAAAGGGCCAAAAGCAGCAGGCCCAGTGGACATTGTGAAAGAGAGAACAGCAATGGTCTCTTGAAGTTCATAAGGCAAACATTCAGATAAGAAGGATTTCCCCCATGGTAGGTGCAGTAGCAGTACTGGGTAGCTTGGCTTAATAAGGAATCTTAGTGATCTAGCAGCAGACACTTACTGAGGGTGTTCAAAGAGAAGATCAGCTCAGATAACAGTAGCTGAAGAAAGTGTTTAAGAAGTCAGCAGGTGCTCACCCACCTTTGCAGAAATGGAAACATCACCCAGAAGGCAGCAAAAGCAGGTAAATCTTTAGACCAAATAATTGCAATTAAGAGGGATGTGCAGGTTTATGTGCTAAACAATGTCTAAAAAATATTTACCTTCAGAAAACAAACAAACAAAAACTCCTACAATGAGAAGAGTCCTGTCTATGGTGAAGTGGTAGAGGAAGATAAAAAGGCAGAGTTATTGATATCCTGCAGCAGGTGTTACCACCTGCTCCCATCTGGTATCCTTCCAACCAAGGAATGTGTTTATCAATTATTTTTCAAATGAAAACTTTTAGTAGCTCTAGAAACATTTTGAGGAAGGAAGGAATGTAACCTTGTGACACTTTTAAGCATAAACATTTTTAAATTTTGGTTTGTTTTGATTTATTTTATATAAGAACTTGCTTATAGACCTGGAACAAGTACCATGGTCTTACCTCAGCCTCCCAGGTACTGAGGATTGCAGTAGTAACCACTGAAGTGGAAACTTAAGTGTTCTTTGCAAAGTCTGTTTGGCTGGATGGTGTCTTACTGGGACAAATTCATGAAGGAAGAGTCTGCTGAAGAAGTCACACGTGAAAGGCTAAGGAAGATTTGTGAAGGAACATTTTTCTGAAGCAGACAATGGTGAAAGGATGTTCTGCTAAAGCAAGGAACTATAAGGACATGTGATGAAGGATTCCTCACTAATGACAGACATGTATCCATCTGCAGTACATTATGTAGTTGAGCTTCATTTGTCAGGACTTCACAGAGAGAAAGACACCAAAAAAATTCTGGTGGTATGCTGCAGCTTCTTGATGCTTTAGCAGATTCAGGCTGATTGGCAGAGTGATGTCAGCTGAGACAGATTTACATGGAGTCCTGCTAAGTCAGACTCACATGCTGAGGCAAGGCACATGGTGAGGCAAGATCTATTGAGGACATGTGATGTTTGGAGGGAGTATAAAAAGTACCCAACAGAGTGAAGTGAGTTGGAGGCTTGGCTTGGCAAGCTTGGCTTGCCCATAGAGCTAGTTGTGCAGTACTTGTTGGTCTCTAGCTTTCACGGTTCTTCACTTCCCTGAGAGAAGTACAGCCAAGAACCATTACTGGAGTTCCCGTTGGCCCTGGTCCCTTCTGCAGACTAGTGCCAATTCAGCTGAGGCCTGACTGTTGCTGTCAGGTCATAAAACCACTGCTGCTATCCCAACTCTACGTAACTGGACTGCTGGAATAGCCATGAACTGTTTGTGAGTGTTGGCTTCTACTGCTGTCCTGTGAGCTGAACTGCTGATTTCCTGACAACCCAGGTGTGATCTGCTCCAAAGAACTATTTCTAAACAGGTCTATTTCCCTTGAATCCTTTCTTTTCTACTACCTCTAGTGGATGGTGGGCTACAAGGCAGATTAAAATGTTTAAGAACCATCATTAAAATAGGCCTTGAAAAAAATTAAAGTTACATACCAGTATGCCCAACTTTTCATTTTAAAAATGCTGCAAAGCTCCTAAATGTTACCATGGAGTTCCCTTAGTGCACAGAATATAGCTTGAATATTTAATTACTTCTAGCATCACACTACTAAATTATCTCCTAAGAAAGAAATAGTAAAATGGACACATGTTACCCTGACTCTTGGGAGGCACAGGCAGGAGAAACCAGATTCAAGACAGGTTAATCTACATATGGAGTTCAAGGTTAACCTGGACTACATGAAAGCGTATCTCAAATAAAAAATGAGAAGGGAGGGAGCAGGGAAGAAGGGAAAGAGGATGGAAAGATGGAAAGAGGAAGGGAAAGCGAGAGGAAGAGTGGAAATTAACTCCTCCTGGATGGCAGCTGCACCTGCCAGAGCTGCATGCACTTTATAACACATTCTGTTGTGATAGTCCAGTTTTCTCCACAGCCTGAAAAATGCTGTAGATGATTGAAATTTTGAGGATATTCTATATAAAATGCTAAGCTGTGAATTGAGCAAAGCCCTTAAACAGTTTTTGTGGCTCATGTATTGGAACATTGGTTTCCCACCTCATGGTACTGCCTTTGGAAGGTTAGAAACCCCTAAGAGGTACAGTACTGAGGGAGGAAGTTGTTTGCTGTAGGATGGCCATGAAGTTTTATGTTAGAGTTGCACTTCCTGTCTACTGATGCAGTGCAACTCACCCTTCCCAGTCTTGCCATAAATGCCTTTCCATCATAAACTGTGGCCTCAAACTGAAGCAATGAGCTTTCCTAACACACCTTTCATGAGACAACAAAAACAACAGGCTTCATCAGCCACTGCTTTTAAGTAAAGGCAGGACCTAATACTGACCCCCATTGTTTTCTAACTAATCACACTCCTGGTTTTGTGCTCTTCAAACCATAACTGAACTCTGCAGCGTATAAAAGCTAAAGCAGACAAGGAAAGCAGCAGAGAAAGCAGAATTCTGAGAAACTGTAGCAGACAAAGAGAATGCAGGAAAATCATGGGGTCAGTGTTTAGGAGGTTGATGCCTTGCTGGGGAATGAACCTTATCTCCTCCCTCACCTTTAGCCAAGCCAAGAAATATAACCCAATGCTGGTGGACCTGAGCCATAGTGTTGTGGAGCCGGGACTCTAGTTCTATATGATCTTCCCCTCCATTTTTAACTACACAAGAGTAAACCTTGGAGCTTGGTCCCACTGATGCAGAGCCACCACAAGACTTCTCTAGCTCCAGATCCTCCTCTTCCCTGCTAGTGATGCAGTGTCAGAGGACAGCTATCAGCATTAGCAAATGAAAACAGGACTTGCAGTTAAATCCAGTCTTTAGATAGACATCAGTTTTCAGTAAATGTCCCATCCAATATTTGGGATATGTTTGCTGCTATTGCTCACCTGAAAATCTAATTATACTGAGCACTGTGTAGTTCATGTTGCAACCCTAGAGACCGAAGGAATGCTCAGGTGCAGGAAGGGTTTCCCAACTGTGTATACACACCTCACTCTTGAGGGGCTCAGAGATGGGGATGAGCTCAGCAGAGAGCAACTCAGCTAGTGATACTAAAAAATAGGTCACTGTGCTCTTGAACCCAAGATGACACAAGGACACGGTAGAACAGTGT